AAAAAAAAAAAAAAAAAAGAAAGAAAGAAAAGAAAAATACATTAAATATCTGGACTGAGCCTAACAGTCAAAGGTCCCAGAGCAAAAACAGAGACCCATGACACTGGCCTAGCTGCTTTTCTAATATTTGCCTTACTCAGTAGACACAACAAAAAGAAAGGAGGTAAGACTTTGTCCTAAATGTCAGCGTTTTGACTTTTCTACTAAGGCAAAGCCAAGGCATAAGCTAGATAAGGACCTAAAGAACTAGATAATTCCTTTTTATTCAGGTTATACAACTGCTATTTACTGATGTACAATTTATTGGTATTACTAGTGTATGCATAGCAAAGTGCTCATCACTGCTCTGAGCACTAGTAGCTCTGGCCAGGTGCGGTGGCTTGGGTGCGGTAGCTCAGACCTGAAATCCCAACACTTTGGGAGGCTGAGGTGGGAGGATCAGTTGAGCCCAGGACTTGGAGATCAGCCTGGGCAACATTGCAAGAATCCATCGCTAAAAAAAAAAATAATAATAAGGCCTGGGTGCAGTGGCTTACCCCTGTAATCCCAGCACTTTAGGAGGCTGAGACAGGCAGATCACGAGGTCAAGAGTTCCAGAACAGCCTGGCCGACGTGGTGAAACCCCGTCTCTAAGAATGCAAAAATTGCCGGGCGCGGTGACGTATAGTCCCAGCTACTCGGGGAGGCTGAGGCTGGAGGATCACTTGAGTCCAGGAGTTCTGGTCTGTAGTGCACTTTGCCGATTGGGTGTCCGCACTAGTTCGGCATCAATATGGTGACCTCCCGGGAGCGGGGGACCACCAGGTTGCCTAAGGAAGGGTGAACTGGCCCAAGTCGGAAACGGAGCAGGTCAAATCTCCCGTGCTGATCAGTAGTGGGATCGCGCCTGTGCATTAGCTGGGCCTGGTGGTAATCCCAGCTACTCACGAGGATGAGGCAAGAGAATTGCTTGTACCTGGGAGGTAGAGGTTGCAGTGAGCCAAGATCGGGCCATTGCACCCCAGCCTGGGCGACAGAGCAAGACTCTGTCTCAAAAATATAAATAAAAAAATAAAGCCAAACCAAAGAAAAAATACTGGTTGTGGTGTGCACCTGTAGTCTTAGCTACTCCGGAGGGATCACTTGAGGCTAGGAGTTACAGGCTGCAGTGAGCTATGGTCACTGCCACTGCACTCTAGCCTGAGTGACAGAACAAGACCCTGTCTCTATAAAAATAGATAGGTGGCTGGGCATGGTAGTTCATGCCTGTAATCCCACCACTTTGGGAGGCCGAGGCAAGTGGATCACCTGATGTAAGGAGCTTGAGACCAGCCTGGCCAATATAGTGACACCTGGTCTCTACTAAAAATACAAAAAATAGCCGGGTGTGATGGCATGTGCCTGTAATCCCAGCTACTTGGGAGGCTGAGGCATGAGAATTGCTTGAACTCAGGAGGCAGAGATTGCAGTGAATTGAGATCACACCACTGCACTCCAGCCTGGGCAATAGAATGAGACTGTCTCAAAAAAAAAGAAAAATACAGATAGGTAAATGATAAATTAGTAGATAGATCAAAAAACCAATGAGTCTGAGTAGTAGCTCAGCCCTCAAAATTTAAGAGTTAGCAGGGGTAAGTTACATATCATGCTTTCTTGAGTACTGTAGATTTCTTCTCATGATAATTGCCTTCTGATAAGGAACTTGGTTATTGTGAAAACCTGAGTGTAAACACAGAGGAGAGGATAGTGTCAGCATCCAGTAAGTATTACTGGTGATCAGGGACTGGTTCAGAATCTTGGCAATGGGTTTAGCTCAGCTTTAAATGATCTTTAAGCTGACGGCAACTTGTCTTCCTTTTTTTTTTTTTTTTT